GGCAGGAGACTCGCTTGAGCCCAGGAGTTGGAGGTTGCTGTGAGCTGTGATGCCACGGCACTCTACCCAGGGGGACAGCTTGAGGCTCTGTCAAAAAAAAAAAAAAAAAAGAATTTTGCTGGATTGCCAGAGCTTCCAGTCCCTTATTCATTTTGACATTTCTGCTGCCATGCCACATCACAGACCACCTACACCCAACCATCATGCAACAGGATGCTTTCACTGTAGCTTGTGACAACAAACTGAACAACAAAGCTTATTGGTGCCCTGCACAAAAGGCACAAAAATGTACCAATAGTGTGCTGGGCATTTAACTTCCGAATCATTGACCCAGAGCTGAGGCAAAATTGGCTCAAATTTTTCATTTGGATTCTAAGTTGTGCGAGCTCTGGGGTGTTAGGATTCTGGGGGCAATACTATACTTTCTTCATTTAAATTTATTTTTGTATTGTGGAAAAATATACATAAAATTGACCTTTTAACCATTTTCAACTGCACATCTCACAGTGCTTAAGTACATTCTTATTGTTTTGCAACCATCATCTCCATACACAGGAACATTTCTTCATCTTACAAAATTCAATCCCCATACCCGTTAAATAACAGCTCTTTTTTCCCACCTCTCTAGCCCTTGGGATCCCATATCCTACTTTGTATTTCTATAAACTTCTCAAAGTACTTCATATGAATTGAATCGTACAGTAAAGAAATGAGGAAGAATAATACACAACATATAGCACGTCTTTTAAATTAAATCAAAACACTGAGATCAGTAATATACAATGATTGTAGACAAAGAAAGATAAAAAGAGAGATTTAAAGGCACATTAATTTTTTTTTTTTTATTGAATGGTAACTATGTACATTAATGCACTTCTGGGGTAGTGTGGGGTTTTCACATGCAATCTGAAATACTTCCATCAAACTGGTCAACACAGCCTTCATGTCATTTTCTCAGTTATTGTTTTAAAATGTTCACATTCTACTCTTAGATTCACTTGTACCCCTATAAGATAAGGCACATTAAATTTATGAGAATTGTGCCTCAACTACCAGAGCAGTGAAGCCCTCACCTCCATCAAAGGGTTGGTGAATAGCATAGCTGGGTGCCCAGGATAGCAGTCTGAATCCCAGATCCCACACTAATCCCAAAATTTAAAATGTTTCTGTCTCCCAGCCAATGAATTACTCCTGAGATTTCACATGGCTGTTCTGGGATTTGAGGGTGCTGCTGCCCTATTGAAATAAGGGATCCACCTTGCACCACATCTGGCAGCTCCACAAGAGGCAAATGTGAGCCCACTAGGAGCCACTCCTCTGGTCCCCCTCCTTTTGTCTGTCCATCATTTAGAGACCTGGTGCCCCAGGAATCACCATGAAAGAGGACCTGATGCTGAAAAGGGATCCATCGATACAGCCTCTTTGCACCAGTCCACAACAATGTCCCCTCTGTGCCTTTTGCAAATCTACTAGACTGCTACCTGTAACTGACGGAATCACTTCATGGAAAAGAACCAGATTCTAAATTCATCCTCATCCTAAAGATCAGAATTGTTTGTAGCCCCTTGGAACAAATGAAAATTCAGAGAAACTTTGACCTTTTGAAGCCAAAAGGAAGGATAAGACGCTGGGAATGTCTAGATAGGAGATGATGAACAGGGTCTGTGGGAAAGGGAGGAAGGAATGACTGGTTTCTGAAGCTTTTCTCTTAAGGGTCCCTACTGCCCTCCGAACCCATGCAGCCCAGCCTCTTCTCACAGTTGGACAGAGTCTCTTCTCTGGAAATTAGTTCTCCATTTAAGTCCCTATCTGGAACTTCTCTTGGAATGAGTCTCCTCCAATTGTGTTAAACCATCCAAACAAATCTAAAATGCAGAGGATGTTACTAGGAAATGTCCCGCCAAGGGTGTCTATGACTTCCACATCCCCATGGTACCCCAAAAGGACCCAGCTGCTCACCTTCCTCTTTCTTATAAATCTAGAACACATTTCCCTGGATGGCAGAGATCTGATGTCTATCAAAAATACTCCCTAGCACATGAGTTGCCCCACCCCTGTTGTACTACTGCCAGTGCCACCAGGGTCAAAGGATATGCACAAAACAGAGTCATACCTGCAATATGCCCTCAGTAGAGGAGGAAGCATGGCAGCTGAGACTCAGGAATCTATTTGAACTCTCTCTGAGGATGGAAAAGGAAACTGAGGCCTTCAATTGAAGGAAAGTGTTTAGCCACTTAGGAGCTGCCTGACCATGAAGGTGTCCAATTCCATTCTAATCCCACAGTTACACCTGAGGAAGAAGCTGAATCAGGTTTCATCAGAACCTCAAGTAGCTCTGCAGTTTCACCACTCAGGGAGCAGAGACGGGCACCTAAAAAGGAGCCTTTGTGACTCACAGGGTAGATGGGCCTGATGCCCCTGCTCATAGGGGCAACTGTGAAGCTTTCATGAGAGGTTTTCTGAGTGTTGAGATCTAAGTGCTCAGTGCAGGACTCTATCCTTAGAGCCTCAAAATCCTGGTGCCCAACCTGCCTATACAGGTTCACTGACGTTCACATAATCCTTCATGGTAGTTTTCAGCAACACCAGATCACTGAAGAATGTGCCCAGGAAGCGGATCTTGTGTCACTGATGTGGTAATGGTGTTGAGCACCCGTCCTCAGGTGCCTGTCCCTGAAATTTCATTAATCCCTGTCTCATACACTCATTTTCTCAATTCTTCCCCTTGGAGTTGCCAAAAACCTCAGCTGCCTTTCCCAGTTCTGTCTTCTTCCCCCAGCTTGTCTCTGAGGACACTAAGAACCTAGTTACCTCTATAGTGGGGTTTCAACAACTCAAAATATCTACAAGTTCCAATCTCTACCCTTTTCCAATTCACTGAGCCCAACTTTTCTAAGCCCTTGCTCCAATCTAACTTATGGAGGCATTTTAATCACTGTCACAACAGAGATAAGGGATTGGAGAAAAAAGCTTCTGCTTTATTGATATTAAGACTTCCAGCAAAATGGAAGGTGCCCCTGTCCTCTCAATCCCTCATCTCCCTCCCTATCCTAAAAACACATTCTTCTGCCAATGCTGCCTGCTCTGGACTCTCTGGGGGCTCTTGTCCAGGGTAGCCAACTTGGAGTTCCACACCTGCCGTGGTCAGGGACAAGGTCCAGACTACTGTACACTCAGTTACAACTCAGATGCCCTCACCTTGGAGTCTGGAGAACTGTTGTCAGTCCCCTGCTACAATGACACTGCCACCTCCAGTCACCTGTGATTCTAGATTCACTCCCAGCTCCAACACTCACTTGATCTATCACTTTAGATATGCAACTCAGCCTCCCTGTGACCATCCCTAATCTGAAAGCTGCCATGGGGACTATTGTCTACCACACTGCGTCTGCTGAGAATTCAGTTTCAAATAACTACCATCGTTGTTCTCACCATTACGCACCAGAGGAAGAGGCAGGCATAGACACACTCAAAGTTCATTCTTGAACCCCATAACAAAACTGTGTGATCTATAAAACGGGCTCATCATACATACATATTCCAGATGACATAATACAAAACTCAAGAGGAAAGTCACTTACACAGAGCCCTCTGGAGAGGCTGGGTCCTTCCTCAACCTGGCATTCTTGCTCAAGATGCCTGCATCCCAAATCTCAGCACCACTACTAACCACACTGTGAACTCCTGGGGTCTCCATGCTTGTCTAGTTCCCCAGGAATGTACTTCCATGCTGGCAGGTGGACGACATATACTGGGAGGCCTGATTGAGTTCCTTCTGTCTACACCAGCTCCACTGGAGTTGGAGGCCATGCCAAAGTCTTCACAATTCCATGTAAGGCAGTTTGCACAGAACTACCTTTTCTACCACTCAGAAAGGTCACCCAAGGTGCTACCTGTCACTAATAAAACAGGTCTTCTCAAAGTAATAGAAAAACCTTTGCCTTCTATGCAGGGAATATTTTGAGATCAGGTCAGGGAGAATCAACTAGGAATGTGTGAGTCACCCAGATTCTTCTCAGAAGCCACCTGGAGCACAAGTCATTAACTGGGCAATGGGCTAAGAATCCTGTGGTAATTGGCAGTGTCATAGGAAAAACATGTCTGTCACAGGTATACTCACTGGAATTCCAAACTGGGTAACACACCTGCTCATTTAGCACACGGGATTCCTTTGCCATACTGCTCCCTAATATAGGCAACCAATCTGTCCTCATGCAGTGCAGACAGAAGCATCAGAACAAATTTGGCTTCCAGCAGAATTGTGGCATAATTTGGGGTAGAAAG